TAGATTGGATAGTCAGAATCATAATTGATATTGTGGTGAACACAACATTAGCATACCTATTAGTATTTGGCGCTTCAATAAATGCTTATTTAAGTTCTCCAACATACTAATTGTTTAAAGTAAATAACATAATCATTGCCTTAAGTTTATGCCATTTCTATTTTTATATTATATATTTCTAATTTATGCTTTCAAACAGTCTATCCATAAGTCGCAACTTGATATTTGCATCATATTATCTATACTTATTAGTATAGATAATATGTACATACATAGTTTAGCATCAGTTAAAATAAAAACAACAAATATGCATACGACTACAACATAAAAACTATAGGCGCAATGCACATATATGGATGGCTGCACCGAGTAAATCGTTCACAGTTTGTATTTATTTGCGGCACGATATTTTTGCTAATAGCCCAAGCGACTCGTTCCAAAATAGAATTGTGGCATTTTATATCTCATCGCGTGAAAACTTCAAAGACCCGGAAAAATGGCTTGAGTATATTATGATACGTAGAGCCAAAATGTCATAAAATATAGTTTCTGTTAAGAGAAAAAGTACAGTAGCTCTTTTTGTTTTTTATAAAGAAAAGTGAAGCTCTCTTTAACATCAATCCAAAAAGTTTCCGACAAAAGATGTTTGTTTTTACAAGTATCTAAGTAGCGATAACTTTCTTTGATCTCGCGTCGCCCTAAATCGAAACACTACAGTTTATAATAATAAATATACAACAAACATTTTGTTGATAAACGTTTTATGTGTCATATAAACCAATGATGTTGTTTGGGATACAACAAACGTTTACCCCTGTTTTTGTACAAGACAATAGAATTATAAGTATACTCGTCGATATAGTAATGAAAATAGATAGCGCCCTATTAATAGAGTGTTTGATCTATTAGTCCTACTCACATTATAAATGTGAGGGCTTACGAAGTTAGTTCTATATTGTATTTTCGATTACTTCATATTATTTACCTGCTAAAAGATAAATGCTAGTGGTTTTCACGGTTTTGCATACATGTACATAGAAATGGCATTTATTGATGAAAAAAACAATAATAAATAAAGCATTTATTACACGCCATTTATATAAAAAAATTTTAGGTGCTCAAAATATTTTTATAAAACTAATTAATTACGCCACATAAATGTGGCACATTTTTCTCAACTTTCTCTATGTTGATTAATAATTACAACACATGGAAATTAAAATTAAAATTTAATTTTTAGACGTTCAGCTGTTTCTATTTAATATATTTATTTACACAGAGACAGATCAACAGGTATCGCCTGGAAACGACTTTACTATTTTATAACTATTCGACTCAGCTTTTAGAACAACACAATTATTACTTAAGCTAGTACCTGTTTCGAAATACATATAAATCTACCCCAGTGTTACAAGCCTAATTACTGTGCACCATTTATGTGTTAAAAGGTAACAACACAATTCACTGCGAGTGTAGAAAGAATATTATTAATTTCAAACTACTGAATATATATAATTAATCGTTTAATGAGTATAATTACCGTAATAACTACTACACTACGATCCAGGGAAGATAGAAAAACGCAACATGAAATCACATTTCACAGTCATACACTTACTCATGTTTGCATAGATGCCATCCACCGATGCTTGTATACTAATGACGAAGAGTTGGTAAAAGTGGAGGATGGATGAATGTAAGTATTTATTTCAAGTACTGCCGACGGAATGAAAAGATTTTCAGGTGTTACATTTTTGAGGTATATAATTTTACTAATTATGTGCCTTTACTACCTTGACTTAAATTACTTTGGCGATTACTATATTTTTATTATACTCGTACTGTATTAAAGTACGTTATAATAATATATAAATTGTTCCATGCAGATAGGTGATTCCTAGTGAAGTTCTAAACAATTGGATGCCCAGAAAAGTTTCGTAAACGTAATTTTTCTAGCTAAGAATCTATTATGTTGATTTTGAAACACAAATAAAACTGCACATTTATGATCAAAATCTATGTATTTTGCATATAATTCATGACAATTAAAACTAAAAAAAATCATATCCATTGAATATATAATCTCCTCCATTTTTGTCCGAAAGAAAGAAAGTTTCATATCTAACAAAATAATATTTTACTTTTTCTCAACATCGCTTCTCTCAGCGACTTTCGACCACAAAACAACAATTGAGTTTGAAAACAAACAATCTTTATCATGATATTTCAAAATGAAGAGGAATAAATCGTAACCAGTAAATATAAAAATATATGACACCTAACGATATCAATTAAAACTGTAGATATTGAAATCAATTAGTACCTACAACATTCAACTGTGGGGTTCAGCTGCATACTCCAACATAAGCATAAGCAAAAGGGCTCAAAATAACATCTTGAAACAGCTTATAATGCAAAAACATATGAGGAGCATGAGTATCTCTATACAAAAACAGTAGTCAAAGAGAACACTGCTACTACAAATACAAGGCACTGCTAGTAAATCATCCCAAAGTGCTGGCCAACCAACTGATAGACCCCGACAATATACGTCACCTTAGAAGGCATAGGTTACTGAAACCTGATGACTAATTAGGACCATGTAAAGAGACGATGATTCTACTGAGAATCGCACTCTACTCGCGGCGTAACTTTGGATACATCTGCTGATTGCAAGGTGGACACAGAAAAAAAAGATATTGATTAAATAGCATTGCTCAAATTCGCTCTCATTATAATTATTACTGCATTTAAATTTACTATGAAGAGTATAAATAAATATTGACATTATTGGTCTAACTGATGTTTCGTTCCGCCATAATTTGTTACGTAACTGGAATGGCAAAACATGCTGATGGCCACTTGACGGTAAGTGGTAACAGTCGCCTATATACGTGGCATACAATAGCGTGGACTTCATGTCAACATTAGATGTTTATGGTAACATTAATGTGTTGCTATTTCGGACCACTACGATGTCATGCCTCCGAAGCCTGTATTATATTTCAGTGGGTAAATTCAACCATTTTGGTTAAGTTGTCTGCAACGGAAGCTCAGTTGATTTAACAAGCTGTTTGGCAGACCATTGTGTTTAAAAATATGGTCTAATCCGGAAAAATATTCTCATAACTATAGGCGTATAGATGATATAAGAGTCTCGTCAAATGATTATGATTTAGCATCTAGTAACCTGAGATTTTGTTTATTATTTCAATTCAGTCACAAAAACTAATATATCACAGGAATTGGAGTTATTGGGTGTGAGCGAAGGTAAAGGACTAATACAAGTTAATATAATAATTGAGTAACTAGGTCTAATTGAAGGAAAAAGAAGTATATTAATATGTCAAGAAAGTATGTGGAAAATATATGGTTCAATATAAATTGAAGTGATAAAATATCACTACCAGTACATAATATACGCTGTGTCAAACGCAATGTGATATGCTAGTGTTGACAGTGTTTGTTATGATGATGCGGCAAACAGTTCAGTCCGGTCGGACGGCGACAGCGCCTTCGGCAACACACAGATCAATTTATTGTCGAATTGTTAGGCTCGGCGGTGGGAGCATGGGGCGCGCGGTGGCGACGCCAGATCGATGTCGGAGGGACGGATGCGGGGCGCGCACTCCCAACTCCCGTTGGGATGAGGCACGGCGCCCGACTTTCGCCGAGCTATTTATAGAATTCAAGCCGCTGACCTATTTCGCTGCAGCGACGCGGAGGAAGGTCACGGATTCAGCCTGCTCTCTGTCGTCGCGGCGCCATTGTCTTTTCAACTGAGCTGCAGCACTAATTAAAGTTGTTGACACTTTGCTTCGCTCTATGTTTTAAACAGTTGCTTTAATCCTTACTCCGAATTGATTATTATGAGAAGCCAATGAAACTATTTTCAACAGTTCTCTATAGACAGCGAAATATCGTATTTAACTAATTAATTAACAAATGCAAAATTAGGGAAATATGAACCATCAAATAAACGTAGAAACTCGAGAGGCTGTAAATAAAATTAATTATATTATATTCAAACCAAAAATAGAAAGTATAACAAAATATTAATAAAAAAGAAGACGGAAATAAGTTACTGAAAAGTTCCAAGTTTCATGTTTCTTATCGCATCGTAGGTAGGTAATTACTTTTTTAACAAGCTCTGCCTTTTGTATGGAACAACGCCGACACCATTACAAGACCCGCTTGAGATATATTAACAAGTTGTTACAGAAACGCTTAGTAATTGTGCAGATTATTTCATTGGGTTGAATTTGTGTGAGTTCGGACAGCGCACGTATACAGGGGCAGGCGAGTCGGCGGCGGCGGCGCCCTTGTGCACGTGCCAGCACGTGTCGTCTACTCTACCTGCTTAGTACGCTAATGTGACAGGCGTGCCACGCTACGCCGCGCCGCGCGCCGCCCCGCGCCGCCATACGCCGTACACCGTATGTGCTTCACGCTACGTCGTCTGAGATCTTGGCATACTCATATGATTTATTGTGTTAACTATGTAATGTATCATACAGATTGAAACCCGATGAAACTCTCACAACATATTCTTGACATGCTTGTTCATTTTTGTGATGTATTATCATTCGTCTGCTCTTTTTAGAATTATTTCTGTCTTTTTTTGAGAATGTAATTACACTCGAAAAATGTAGTTATTTAATTAAAATAGTATAAATATAATTACTATATTTTTTAAAAGACTGCAATTTTTCTGACAAATGTTTTTTTAATCTTTTAGAGAAAAGACAGAAGAATTTTAAAGATAGAAGACATTTTAATCTTTAGTAATAATAAATATATATGTACAACAGCACCATGTAATAAATACTCGTATTACGTAGGTGGACCTTACTTAATTTTAAATGTAAAATACCGAGGTATTTTCGTACCTTCCCGTTATTAATGAGAATAACATTGGTTTGATTTTGGATGTATCAGTTTAAATATAACCCCTACTATGTACTTATAATAATTGATATTTAGAATTTGTGCCCACTTACCCTGGAATTCTTTCCTGGCGGTGCTGACCGAAGTGACGATATTGGCAACATGCCCCAGTACTGTCGCAAACAATAGCAACCCGAACAGAAGCTGCGCTATTACAAACACATACTCCCCCTTGCTTCGCGGCCGTGGTAGGTCACCTGAAAACATTTTTTCTTATAGTGATGTAAATGATAGCAGGCATTGAATCAGAACATTAAAAATATTAATTCTGTATGGGCAACCTCACATGCCTGCTTACTGTGCAATACACAAATGCCGACACATAGAATTTCATGTCATTACATTTCTTTTAGCAATAATATCAGCGTTCGAGTACATTCTATCAATTTAACAAAAACCCCTTATTAATCAATCAACTCATATCTTTATGAAGGAACTGTGGGCTAAAACCCCCACAAATTGATATTGTATAAATTCAATTATAGTCGCTATTTTCTATGTAATTCAAATAAAAGTGTTATACACCGTCTCCTACATACATACGAGTATATTAACTGTGCAACGGACGCAAGAAAACACTTTATTACTTCTGTTGCACCTACGTCTCGTACGGTGTTATTTCTGATGACTAAGGAGTTACGCATCCGTACCTTGTAATTTCACTGCCATATTTTACTGATCACAGGTTGTAAAGCAAACTACTGGTAGCATAAATTATTTGGTAAAGCCTTATCCAATATGTAACAAAGTATCTACTAGAAAATCAGATAAAATTAGGATAAATTCTGTCACTGTTTATATAATAATAATGGTAGTTGCTATTGTCATATTTGATTTATGGCGTAACGGTGAATGGTATCGATATGGTAATAATGGTAATGATATAATGAAATGGTTTATTTATTAATAAAATTAGATCATAAGCAACTAAACGGATATGTGATATTTAGAATTTGTGCATGATGTTGGACGATATAAGAAATTACATATATAAGTACTATATATGAACGTGGATGGTTGGAAAGGGAGAGGGCGAAAAAAAGATGGATGGTTTGTATGAAAGATGATATGAATAACAGTAGAGTGTGCTCAGATATGACGGCCAGATGCCAGACGATCAGTGGAAGAGGATGACATACTGCGCCGACCCCAAATAATAGGACAAAGCTAGGGCAATGATACTGATAATATAATAATCACAAAAATGTGTCGAATTTAATTTTTTAATATTAAACAGATTCCCCAATTAATTTTTGTAAAAGATAGAAACTCAATACTCGCTTATATTTTTGTAGGTATATAAAACATTATACATATTTATGAAACGTTATATTATACGTGATCGATCGATATTTACTAATATTAAAGCTTATGTTCTTCTTTCATAAACAGACTTGCAATATTGAATTAGGTCTTACTTAATTCAATAATGCAAGTCTGTTTATGAAACCGCAATAATATCGAAAAGAATATTGAACAATGTTATTGTATATTTTACATTATAACTATTAATAATAACATACTACTCATGAGTCATATGCTTTCAGTTGAAATAATATTTCTTCAAATTCAGCGTCTAATGCCTGTACTTTTACTGTATTTGTAGCGAGAAGCGCCATTAGCAGACTTCACGTCTATCAAAGTAATAAGAGCTTTCATGCTATTAGAAATTCCTTTAAAAAATTACTCATAATTCGATATCATACTCCATTTCTCTGTTAACATACTAGGTAGTATATATATATGCGCATGTAGTTAATATTTTATTCAGGATTATCTTGTGGGTATGGGCAAACATATACCCCAAAAAAGAAACTAATTTATTATAAGTGGGGTATTTTACCTTTAGGCTTATTTACATTACATATTATATGTAGTTTTAATGTAAATAGAATGAACTAATATCAGATTTTTTTAATTTCACGAGACATCAAAACATAAATTATAATAATTCGTTCGTTACGGCATGTAACGAACGAATTATTATCAAATATCAAATAACACGAAACAAATATTTCAATCAGAAACCTGTCTTTTTGTTAATCATTTATATATAAACCCGCCCCGACTTCACACGGGTAGTGTAACGTAACATATATAACCTTTCCTCCAAAAATCTCTATCTATTACTAAAAAATGCAATAAAATCCGTCGCGTAGTTTAAATGGTCTAGGAGAACAGACAGCGTAAACGACTTCATTTCATACTATATACAGATACAGTAAATATCTATATACTATTGACTGTTCATGTTAGATTACTAATTAATTAATCATATCAGTTAAATGGAGAATTTCGAGATACACAAACGGCGTTTGCCTGTTCAGCCAAAGCCAAATGTGTCTATAGTCAGATGGCACTCAGCTACCGACTCAATTTGGAAATTAAACAGAAATAGATTTACCGCAGAGTCCTGTCATGGCCACCGCGCGGGCTAGATTAAATTATAATAATCAAGTGAGCGCAATTATATAACCCACGAAATGAAATTATTATAATATCAATTTTGCTTAGAATGTCGTTGATTAGCAGTCACTGACTGTGGAAAATTCTTGCAATTTTCTTAATTTGACGGCTACAAGATTCCAATGGTGTACCACACTTATTTTGTGACTATTGCTTTGATACCCGCACAAAAAAACATTTATGTACCGGAGGAAAGGAATTTTTAGAACAGTATCATGTCAGTCGACGTCCATGTGTTCTGGACATAACTGCGATAATGAATCCTTTATGATAAGCTGACACTACTCGGACTAGAATAATAAAAGATGAACCTGAGCTCATCATATACCCATAGTCAAATATGTGCTTCATTTCACAATAATTAGTGTTTTTTTCCAGGATAGAAAATCTAGGCGGATTTTTTTCCCTTTTTGGTTTCGGCAAGGATAGCTGCATCTGTTTTAAATTTAGAATAACTTTTGTTATCATTTATGTCTATCAACAATATTAGTAAAATCAGCTGGCAATGTCAATTATTGTACTTACATACATTGAAATCAGATTTCAGTATTACTAAATTTATTTTATATTATATACTCATAATTTAAATATGCAAACAGTATATTAAAACCTAAACTTAATCATATAAGCAATATTACTTTATTATATATAAATGTATGTGGTATTAATTATGAAACATCCAAAATTTTAATTAGTAGTAAATCTAATTCTCGACAAGTTCCTACAATCAACACCCGTTCATGATATGATGTAGTATGACGGATGAGCCAGCCATCATTGGCTTCAGCCATTTTGTGAAGCCGAACAACCCGTCCCGCTAGACCATCTCCATCCGTTTGAACATTATTAAGTGAGAATGACTTGCTTCAAGTTACCTGACTACTGCTAAAACTTGTATATTAATAATTAAGAATTAAATCAATGTCATTCAGTCTTCAAAGTAAACATAACATTGTCACGACTGTTAAGCAATACGGGGTAGTTAGAAGCATTGTAACCATATTATGTTGAACGCAATAATTGTTTACATTTCTCCTAAAGCCGTCTCTGAAATAATTTTTGACATTTTTTAAAGTTATACTTAGTTAATACTTAATCTTCTACTAATAATTAGTTAATACTTAATGTTCAGATTTTGTAATCTAACATATAAGACTACAAATGTTAATAAATCAGTTCCTTTGTTAGGCTTAAAAGTTTCGTAATATTCTCATTACGTTGTTTCAAGTATTAACTCACTTCTATTATTTCGTATGAGATAATCAATATAGAATCATGTGGTACGTTATTATGTTCGTTCTATTAGTTTTGACTATAAACTGAATACGACGAGAATTAAACGGAGAGGTTGATAATATTAAATTTGTAGAAAGTTCTCTTTAATTAATTTCGTAAATTCCAAATAGCTATAAATTAATTCTAGTTTAATTAAGAATTTAGTCAAACATTACTATAAATTACGATTTTACTTGACAATTCACAAGCTTATATTATAGATAGAAATCATTCTCATGAATACACATGTTTGCATCGAGTGAGGAATACAACTTGCGATCATCAAAAGTAGATACCTATGGCAGTGGTTTAACCACTAATCCGACGAGGCTGTCTTTTTAAATTTTACATGGCAAACAATACACATTTTATATTATTTTCTGAACTGTTACATTTTTAGTTAACATTTTCACATAAAGGCACTAGTAAAATTTCGTATTTTATCTTTATTTATACTAATACCTTGTGCTAACCAATATGTGATCACAAATTATATTACTATGAAAATAAATAGGTTTTCAGCCTTCGTTTAAATAAAACAAATTAATTATTATGGCGCTGTACGCTCAAAATGAAACAATATTAATGTAGGTACAAATAAAGCGGCGGTGAAATGGACGTATTATCAGAGTGAAATGACTAACGAAGCTTGAGGTTCAAATAACGTGTCTATATCACGTCATCAATTTCAAGCCTACCTTTGTAAATTGGTGCTCAGATAAAAACATGATAAACTAATAAAGGAACGGGTGCGTGTTGTTAACACAGCCAACAAAGGGTAGTTTGGTTTGCTATACGCTGATCCAGTTAGAAACGACCTTAACAAATTTTAACATAAAAATATACGACCTCTCCCATTTTTACTCGTCGCGTTCGAGTCAATGTCGGATTAAGGTCCATGTGTAAGTACTTTATCCCGCCACCTGCGACAAGGACAGGCGAAAAGGCACATTTTGTTTTTAAAAGACAACGTATATTTTGTTGGTACCTACTCGCTTGACACGTCTCCGTCTGGAAAATAATTTACATCGTATTTGTGACGAGTCACTGCAACTTCATTTAATGTGACGCTCATTTAAATAATGTTTTGTTGCCTCTGTCACATTTGAATATAATAGGTATATAGCTTCAGTTACTGCTGATTTGAATGCTTTTTTCATACCTTCTGTGTATTAAAAAACCAAGGCAGGGGTATTTATATACAAGAATAATAACGTGTTATTCTGATGTATAAGCTATATTACTGTAGAGTTTTATCACAACCCTTTCAGTAGTTTTTGCGTGAAAGAGTCTACATCACCACATGAGTATGGAGAAAACGTCCTGGATGAATGTTTTCTCCATACTCATAAAATTTCGTGTTAATAATATTGATAAAGTTCATAAAGAAATTAATATCAAAACTACATATATTATTAATACAATACATAAAAACAGATACGTATAACCCTGTCTA